ACCTTCTCCTCTCTGTCAACGCTCTCTGGTTTCATTTAAAAGAGTCGATCATCAGATATTGTCCAAGATTAACCTTCAGGTTGGATATAGCTCACTAGCAGCCTCGCACCGAGGACCTATCCATATCATTTTACCCAGAATGCTTTGTGTGTAAATAAAAAGGCTCTGTCCATGTTAAAATATATTTTTAAACATTTACAAAACTAAACAGCCTACAGTATTTTTACAGTCTTTATTTTACAGTTTAAATATATATTTATCAAATAAAGTCTAATGTTACAACTAATCAGGGATCCCTTTAAAACACTCTCAATGTATACTACACACAAGTTCAATGATCTGTGCGTTGACACCCAGGCAGCTCAGTTTTCTAAGAAGATGAATTCGTTGTGAGCATTTCTGAAAAATGATTCTGTATATTCAGTAAAGCTTAGCCGGCTTTCAAGAACTGTTCCTAAATATAGTAAATATTTAAAAGATTCAGGCTCTGATATCAAATCCTGCTTTTCACAAAAGATTACCTCCTTTGTCTTTGCCACATTAATTTCTAATTGGCTGCTGGTACACCATGCTTCAAAGGCTTTTACATGTGCAATGTAGGAAATCTCACTGGAAGAATAATTTTTCCACAACAGGCCAACTATCAACTGCATATTTGATTAATTTAATTATGTTATTGTTATAATAATATGATGAAGACTGAAGTAAAACGTTGAAACATGATATAAAATAACACAGTGTCTAGTAACAAAGAAAAGTTTTGTAGATCTATGTTATAGCCTCATCAAAAGCATACCCAGAATCTTGCTTTGACTCTTTCGTGCATGTTTGCATGTCTGTGGTAGGCAGCCATGTGGAGCTGCCAAAACACTTACTGGTACAAAGCTCCGCCTATTTGTACAAAGCCCCTCCCTGGAGCTCAGTCTGCAGCTGAGCTCCCGCCCCACAGATCACCCCTCCCCCAAAGCACTGTTGTGAAGATGTGCTTGAAGTGGGAGTGTCAGACATGGTAGGAGGTTCTTAAAGGGATCCCCGATTAGTTGTAACATTAGGCTTTATTTGATAAACATTTATTTTAACTGTAAAATAAAGACTGTAAAAATACCTTTTATCATTTTTAAGCTAAAAGTTTAAAATTATATTACACGGATGGGGCCATTTTATTTACACACAAAGCATTCTGGGTAAATGATGACATGGATAGGTCCTCGGTGTGAGCGAGCTATATCCACCCTGAAGGTTAATCTTGGACAATATCTGATGATCGACTCTWTTAAATGAAACCAGAGAGCGTTGACAGAGAGGAGAAGGTAGAAATGACTCAGTCTGTAACTGAAAATATGGATGGAGGACAACAGAGCTGCTTCATGGAAGAAGAACCTCAGCTTAGCCTGTTAGCCTTTGCGCTAGCGCCGACACTATATTGCCTAGCTCGGTGCTAGCACGACAAACAAGCTAAACTGAGGCCCTCCATCCATATTTTCAGTTGCAGGCTGAGTCATTTTTGCGTTCCCCTCTCTGTCATGTGGATGGAGGACCTCRGTGACGAGAGGAGAATGCGTAGCGCTGAGCTAATACATATACTATATGGTGATAACATCAGGGATAACACTAAAGCTAACAGGCTAAACTGAGGTTCTTCTTCCATGAAGCAGCTCTGTTGTCCTCCRTCCATATTTTCAGTTCCAGGCTGAGTCATTTCTACCTTCTCCTCTCTGTCAACGCTCTCTGGTTTCATTTAAAAGAGTCAATTGTCAGATATTGTCCAAGATTAACCTTCAGGGTGGATATAGCTCGCTAGCAGCCTCGCACCGAGGACCTATCCACATCATCATTTACCCAGAATGCTTTGTGTGTAAATAAAATGGCTCAGTCCGTGTAATATATTTTAAACTTTTAGTTTAAAAATTATAAAAACTAAACAGACTACAGTATTTTTACAGTCTTTATTTTACAGTTAAAATAAATGTTCATCAAATAAAGTCTAGTGTAACTAATCATGGATCCCTTTAAAGAGACAGGGCAATTTCAGGGTGTTTATAAGAAGCAAAGTCAAATTTATTTTTGATATATGCAGCATTTTCATGACAACTGAACGTAACATAGTTAATTTATTGTGATATAGAACTGAATTATGTGTCTGGAAAATACATAATCCTGAGGAGGGCACCAGTGAGTAACAAACTTTGCATGTTCTAGTCAGGTTTGGATACACCTGTGTCCTGCGAACAGTGTTTCAGTGAAGAAAATGCATGATTGTGACATAATGCATTTCTAAATRTAAACTGGGGACTGTTAGTTTGTGTTGTCTCGTGTCTCTCCAGGACCGTCCAACCATGCAGCTCTATCAGCCAGGAGCACGCAGCAGGAAACGCATGAGCTCAGCCAGTAAAGGCTACGACTGCATCCCTGTGGGCCACTCACCTGACTGCAGGACAGAGCACTGTTACGAGGTTGTTTCAATGACAACAGGYCTGGAGAGGGGGTTTGAGAAAAACAAAGATGAACAGTGAGTTGTCAAGATAAAATGGGGAAGTGAAATATAGATAAGACTTTTAGCATTTCAGGTTAAGTTGACTGGGCTAACTGGTTTTTCAGTTCCTTTTTACAGAGTGGAACTCAAATTGTGAGTAATCAGTCTTATAAACACTTTCTGGTCTAGTTTTTTAAGCGTCAGTGTAGTTACAATTTACAGGTAAGCTTCTGATTATCTTCTGCGTGAGAACTTCTTTTGTCTTTGTACAGAAAAACTGATCTTTTTTGTCTCTTTGTTTTTTTGTTCTTTTTTGTTTTAGATATTTATCGTATTTAAAAAGAATTTTGGTAGAAGTTGCATAAAATAAGCAAATAAAATGAAAGTGAAAACATAAATTTTGTGTACAAACGACTATAAACTGATCAAAAAAGAAGAGTTTTATGTTATTTTTTTAGCTTTTTGTGAGACATTCTTTGTACATGATCAGTAGAAGCAAAATCGAACTAATATATGATTTTTAGCAGATGACACCTAGTAGTGATTTTATTGGTTGTTCTATATTATGTCAGTTGATATGATATAAAAGTGGCAAACATAATCATTTTACAAAACTAACAAGAGTGCATGTTACCAAACATTTTTTGTAGCCGTTGTCATTTTGTTTATGTTTTCCCTCTCTGCTTTAGATTCTAAGACAATAAACTGAGTAAAACACATTCAGCTGTGTTTCAGTCATTGGAGATGTCTAGGTGAGACAGATGAGCAGCAAAGCTGTTTGAAACACTCAGAAAGTGACAGATACTGTATGTGTGACTGAACACACGATAAGTGATGCTTTATGAGTGATATGAAGAAGAAAAATGTTTAAGTTGTATGAAATGATTGTGCTTGTGAAAGTGGTACACGTGAACAGTGTTGTACTTTCACCCAGATTAAGAAGAACTATCATGAGTAACAGGAAACCAGCAGCGTTGGAGCACATTCACTGTGTGAATCTTGTGAACAAAACAAAATTTTGCATATTCAGATCATTGTCTTTAATCACGTTTTCTTAGTTTTTTTTCTTATTATTGTCTGCAATTTAGGAAACAGGCTAAARATGATACCTGATAGCTTTCTGTAAATATATATCAGCATTTATTTATCTTTTGTTTTTGAATGCATATCAGAGTTATTTAGTTGGTACTTGTGATTTGTTCAGTTTTTATCTTTGATTCGTTTTTGTGGTGTATGTACAAATGAGAGAAAGTGAAAGTAACACYCCACGACATGCTGGGATTTCCCAATAACTCTGATTTTTTACTTTTCCATTGTGGTGTATCATATGCCCTCTGTAGCTTTTTACCAAAAAAATTGTTATTACAGAAAAAATAAGACATACCATATGGGGGAGAAAAAAGTTGAGGGAATATGAGTGAACTCTATACACGCATCATCGTGTGTGAGTGTTTGTGTGTAAGGGTGAGGGGCTGTCTCTGATATCACACCGCCTTATAGCAGTCCTTTCTAGGACTGAATCAAACATGTGGCCGTTACTACGGTTGGTAGAATGAAGGATGTCACATGGTCCATTTCCTCTCTCTGGCACTGTAACAAGCCCATAACCCATTTCCTCAGCCTTCCTCAGTCGCAACTGACATCTGTACCTCCATCTCCAACCGACACACACACACTTACCCACCTGCCTTCTCTGCCTCTGTGTGTACGGTGGTAAGTTTTCACCTAACTCTTACAACATTTTCGACTTTGTTCTTTATGATTACGGTACAAAATTTGCTGAATTAGTACCATACGTTAGTTGAACAGTATTTTTTAATATTTTTTTATATTTATCTTGTTTGTAGATACAGTTTAAATCACCAGTATGTGCATGTTTTTATATGCTCTATAATTTAAAACAAAAGAAATCTATAATATCCTTCATTTTTTAATATTTTTAACACAAACACCACACATAGGGGTTTGAATTACACAACTTTCTTAGAACAGTTATACAGTGCGCATAAAAAAATTCAATATATTGGGACATCACTGTCCCAATATAACAGAAACAAGCTATATTTGACACTATAATAATACAAGTAAAGCTTAATAAAGACGTTTTAATGTAAGTTAACTTTTGTTTTCAACTTTCTGCCATTGTTGTACTCATTCGTAGTAACCTGGTACTTTCAATTCCTCAAAAACTCGTAAAAGTTATGATAATGTAACTCAAGATCATATTTCTGCTTCAGTTTGTTTTTTGGTAATTCTCAAAAATATTTCAACCACTTGTGAGACAAATTGATTGTCTTAAATTCATCTGGTTTGATAACGTGTGTAAACTGTTTTAATTTATTTAGATTATTATTTTCACAGTTAGAAATTATTAGATTATCCGCAGCGTGTTTGGTTAAGCACTTCAAAGCTGCCTTTGCACMTCAAGTTCTCACAGTTTGCGCACTTCACCACAAATCAAGAATATCATTTTCCTGTGTGAAAACTACACCCAAAACAAGTGGTTTTTTTACATGCAAACAACTGCGCAGGTGAGCATAGCCCTGAAAAGTGTGCAGTGCCAGTTTCACATCTTCAGATCAAAAATTACATATTGCACCATTTGCATTATTTTTCCTTTGTGGCTTTAGTGTTTTTCTGATGTTACAAAACAATCAGAGGACCTCCTTTAAAAGGACGTGGAAGCTTTATAACTGAATTTAGTTGATATATTAAATTGTAATGCATAAGTTTGAGAAGGTGTGTGCTGAACTCTGTTATACAGGTGATGAAAGACCATCCAAACATGATGCCAAACTCCACAAGGACCCAGCTCGACAATGCCACGTTATCGTTGTTTCAGAATGTGCCCACCAGCGTTGCCATTTCTGTTGTCTACATGTTGGTCACAGTCATCAACCTGACAGGAAATGGCATGTCAATATGGCTCCTCCTCTTTCGCACCTCCCCCAAGACTCCTTCCATCATCTTCATGATTAACCTCACCCTAACCGACTTGGCTCTTGGCACTGCCCTGCCCTTTCAGATTACCTACCAGCTCCAAGGATACGACTGGACTCTGGGATCCAACATGTGCAGGTAGTCATCATACAAAGACTCAAACATACACAATAAACTTGTATGTAAAGAAAACAGCAAATTAATAAATGAGTGTTATACTTTGAACACTGATTTTAGGTTTACTGTAAGTTTTTGGCCCTTACTGTAAAATCAAATCCCAACTGAGTGTCTTTGTGYACAAATATAATAAACAAAATTATTAATTTCTGTGTTTTGGATGGAAACATSTCTGTTTCCTTCATTAACATTAATGGCTCCTAAACTTTGTATTGTGACTATACTGAGCTGGTGCTGAAATGTTTCAAACATTTCTCAGCACAAGCATTTTATATTTTTGGCATAAACAAATAGATCTGTCTTCTAGAACATCTTACCTACAAACTTAAAACCAAATTCACTTCTTTATCCTAACAGTATCTGCAAAAACTGAGGAAAAACCACGTCAAAGCCTTACTGATGTTGACTAGGCCTACCTTGAGTGGGGGTGTCAGACCTAACCAATTTGGTGTCCTATAGCATGATTTCAGTTGGCTCCTCCTGTGCAATTATCTAAATCTCACAGCCAATTTACATACATTCACATACCAAATTAAATAGTTCTGTCTTTGATATTATTGTTTTATTTTTAAAACACATGTTATTCTAATAAAATAACTAACAATACAAATAATTTGAAACAGAATACCAGATTTCAAATTCCAAAATTACTGATAGCAAAAAAGGAACATGTGTTCATTTTAACGAGCAGCTGTGGAGTGAAGCAGTTCTGGGAGGGTCCAGGGATGTACACCCCTGGAATTTTTTTTTTTTATAAAATATTTATTCATAACTTCATTTTCTGGCCATTTAAAAGCATTTTACTAAATTCTTGCAATTAATAAATCAGGAAAGCCTTCTGCACGGCTTCGAGGCGATTCTGGTCCACCATCCGGTGCCTCAGGAGGGGGAAGCAGTGCAGCACCAACACTGTTTATAGTGGGGATGGTATGCTGCTGACCTCAACTCGTGACGTTGTGGGCCGGTGGGTGGAATACTTTGAAGACTTCCTCAATCCCACCAAAATGCCTTCTGCTGAGGAAGCTGAGCCTGCGGACTTTGGGTTGGACTCTCCAATCTCTGGGGGCGAGGTTGCCGAGGTGGTTAAAAGGCTCCTCGGTGGCAGGGCCCCGGGGGTGGATGAGATCCGCCCGGAGTTCCTTAAGGCTTTACTTTACTTTACTTTAAAAACTTTATTGTCATGTTGCATGCACAAGGTGTATACAAAACGAAATTTCGTTGCATACGGCTCAGGACAGTGTTTTGAGCTTACAAAAATACAGTATAAAATATGCATGTAAATATGAAAATATAGAGTGCAGGAATGACAGTAAATAAAAGTTCTTTAGTTCTGTACATGGGCAAGATATAAAGTGAGACCAGATACTAAGTACAGTGAGGTTAAGAGTTCAGCAGTCTGATGGCAAGTGGAAAGAAACTGTTTCGGAACCTGGAGGTCCTGCACCGGATGCTGCGGAACCTCTTTCCAGAGGGCAGCAGGGAGAACCATCCATAGTGGGGGTGTGAGGGGTCACTGACGATGTTTCGGCCTCAGGACACGCAGCGCCGGGATGAAAGGTCCTGAATTGAGGGAAGGGGGGCCCCGATGATCCTCTCTGCTGTCCGCACCACTCTCCTGASGTTCTTCCAGTCGGAGGCGCTGCAGCCTCCACACCACACAGAGAGGCAGCTGGTCAGAATGCTCTCTATGGTGCTTCTGTAGAACGTCTTGAGGATGGGCGGGGGCAGGTGTGCTCTTCTCATCCTCCGCAGGAARTACAGACGTTTCTGTGCCTTCTTGACCAGAGACGTGGTGTTCACAGTCCAGGAGAGGTCGTTAGTAATGTGCACCCCCAGGAATTTGGTGCTGCTGACCACCTCCACAGCCGAACTGTTGATGAGCAGTGGAGCGTGGCTGGGCCGATTCTTCCTGAAGTCRACGATCATCTCCTTAGTCTTGTCAACGTTCAGGATCAGGCTGTTCTCTCTGCACCAGTCTACCARCTGCTCCACCTCCTCTCTATAGTCCAGGTCTTTGTCGTCTGTGATGAGGCCCACCACCGTTGTGTCGTCCGCGAACTTCACGATGTGGTTGGTGGCGAACCTGGGGGCGCAGTCGTGTGTCATCAGAGTGAACAGCAGAGGGCTCAGGACGCAGCCCTGAGGGGAGCCTGTGCTGAGGGTGATGACATCGGAGGTGTATTGTCCGATCCGGACAATACACTCTCCAGGCTCTGGATGTTGTAGGATTGTGTTGGCTCACGCGACTCTGCAATATYGCATGTAAATCGGGGGCAGTCCCCCTGGATTGGCAGACTGGTGTGGTGGTCCCCCCTGTTTAGGGGCGGCTGTGGCGGAGTGGTTAGGTGAGTCGTCCTGGAACCAGAAGGTCACTGGTTCGATCCCCCGTCTAGCCGTCTTAGTCGTTGTGTCCTTGGGCAAGACACTTCACCCACCTTGCCTACTGATGGTGGTCAGAGGGTCCGGTGGCGCCGATGCATGGCAGCCCCACCTCTGTCAGTGTGCCCCAGGGCAGCTGTGGCTACAGTGTAGTTTGCCATCATCAGTGTGTGAATGTGTGTGTGAATGGGTGAATGTCTGTTAGTGTAAAGCGCTTTGGGGGTYCGGAGGGACTTGAAAAGCGCTCTATAAGTTCAGTACCATTTACCATTTACCATTTTAAAAAGGGGGACCGGAGGGTGTGCTCCAATTACAGGGTGGTCACACTCTTAAGCTTCCCTGGTAAGGTCTTTTCGGGGGTCTTGGAGAGGAGGGTCCATCGGATAGTCGAACCTCGGATTCAGGAAGAGCAGTGTGGTTTTCGTCCAGGGCGTGGAACACTGGACCAGCTCTACACCCTCAGCAGGGTCCTGGAGGGTGCATGGGAGTTCACCCAACTGGTCTACATGTGTTTTGTAGACTTGGAGAAGGCGTTCGACCGTGTCCCAAGGGGGGCCTTGTGGGGGGTTCTCTGGGAGTAAGGGGTACTGGGCCATTTGATACGGGCTGTCAGGTCCTTGTACGACCGGTATCAGAGTCTGGTCCGCATTGCCGGCAGTAAGTCGGGCTCGTTTCAAGTGAGAGGTGGACTCCGCCAAGGCTGCCCTTTGTCACCGATTCTGTTCATTACTTTTATGGACAGAATTTCTAAGCACAGCCGAGGTGTTGAGGGGGTCCGTTTTGGTGGCCTTAGGATCACATCTCTGCTTTTTTGTGGATGATGTGGTCCAGTTAGCTTCATCGGAACATGATCTGCAGCTCTCGCTGGAGTGGTTCGCGGCCGAGTGCGAAACGGCTGGGATGAGGCTCAGTGCCTCCAAATCCGAGGCCATGGTCTTGAGCCGGAAAAGGGTAGAGTGCCTTCTACGGGTCAGGGGGGTCGTCCTGCCTCAAGTGGAGGAKTTTAAGTATCTGRRGATCTTGTTCACGAATGGGGGAAGAAGGGAGCAGGAGGTCGACAGGCGGATTGGCGCAGCGTCTGCTGTAAAGCGGGCGCTGTACCGGTCCGTCGTGGTGAAAAGAGAGCTGAGTCAAAAAGCGAAGCTCTCGATTTACCGGTTGATCTACGTTCCTACCCTCATCTATAGTCATGAGCTTTGGGTCATGACCGAAAGAACGAGGTCCCGGATACAAGCAGCCGAAATGGGTTTCCTCAGCAGGGTGGCTGGACTCTCCCTTAGAGATAGGGTGAGAAGCTCGGTCATCCGGGAGGGTCTCAGAGTAGAGCCGCTGCTCCTCCACGTCGAGAGGAGCCAGTTGAGGTGGCCCGGGCATCTGGTAAGGATGCCTCCTGGGCGCCTCACTGGTGAGGTGTTCCGGGCAYGTCCCACCGGGAGGAGGCCCAGAGGAAGACCCAGGACACGCTGGAGGGACTATGTTTCTCAGCTGGTCTGGGAACGTCTTGGAGTTCCCCCGGAGGAGCTGGAAGAAGTGGCTGGGGARARGGAGGTCTGGGCCTCCCTTCTGAAGCTGCTGCCCCCRCGACCCGACTCGGGATAGGTGGAAGAAAATGGATGGATGGATTAATAAATCAGCTTAAAGTCAGTATTTTATGAAGGATGAACATTGAAAACCAGACTTCAACCTGAGCTTTATCTGAGATCATATCTTCCAATATTGTTTATTTTATTCTTTTATTTACACACTGAGAACCATGAGTTAGCCTTGCTTGCATTATATGATACTTTTATCACAACATATCATCTGCCTCATCTAAGCAGTCTGAGAAACCCACAGAACAAATTAGCTTCTTAAACTCGAGTAATCAGTAACTTTTTTACAGACTAAATCAACTAGACTCTGAAAAAAGTTATAAATTTATTTATTTATTTTCCATCTCCTCTTTGTGGTTCCTGCTAGATGGACGGAGCCCATAGCATTTGGGCTGGGCCTGGAGAGTGTCAACTGTAAATGGCCAAAACGCCAAATGAACTGGAGGTCTACTGAGAATCTGTCCCAAAATTCTAACAACAAACCTAATGAGGCTTTGATCGATAAATAAATTTAATACTTGAAACAATAATCACATTTTAACTCCTGGGCTAAACAAAAGAGATAAAGTTTTGACTGGCATGTGCCAGGCATTCTCTCTGCCTCTGGTTTCCTACATCAAACAGATTCAGTCAATGGACAGGGTAAACAATCCACCAAGRAAACACCTAACCCTTGGTTGAAGAGCAAATTACGTGATGGTTTTGTGAATCTGTCGCTGAACCACAGACCTACATTTCAATTTCATTTGCCCCACAGCCATTAGATATACATTTGAGATAACCTGAATCAGATTCCCTTGCTGTTTTGCCATTTTGCAGCTAGCAAATCCCACAGAGACCTTTATAGTGCTGCTTGAGTAGCACTATAAAGCAGCACTGTAAAGGTCTCTGTGGGATTTGCTAGCTGCAAAATGGCAAATCCCACAGAGACCTTTATAGTGCTGCTTGAGTAGCTACAAGCACATTTGTTTCACAGTTGTTTATTGCAGTCCTGTCTTGAGTAGGTTTCATTGAGAGCGTTGAACCACCTGTTGTTTTATTTGCTTTAGATGGGTTTTTCTTTAGTGAAACGTTTCATCTCTCGTCCAAGAGACTTCTTCAGTCTGATGAGTTTCAGGTGTATTCAGCCTTATAAGCACTGCCTCCACATGGACAAACAGGTTAGTCATATGAAAAAGAGGGCCGAGCCTATTGTTAAGCGATGACCCTCTTTTGCATGTGACTAACCTGTTTGTCCATGTGGAGGCAGTGCTTATAAGGCTGAATACACCT